CAAGCCGGAACCTGCAGCGGGTGTCGGAGGTGAGTCTGCAGGCTCCAGCAGGACAGGCAAGCAGAAGGGAGCACTGCGAACACCTGGAAATCCTTCTGCCCTCTCGTCTGGGTGGAGCCGGGAGCCTTGTTTTTTTTCCACCCTGTCTGCTCCTGGCTTGCAGTGCTTCAGCACCAGCAGGCAGCAGTGATGGGCAGGATGGGTGCAGGTTTAGGGTGGGCTGCACCTACTGCACCTCGCAGTAGAGCTTAGTTAATCATGGAACTTGCTGCCTTCCCCTGCCAGCTTCCAGGTGTCACATCGCCTTTTTGTTGATGAGACAGAAAGAAACAAACCGCGGTAGAAGTTTGTCAGCAGGGAAGTGGCAGAGCCCAAGGTCAGAATTGAATCTCAGTCGTGAGTAGGGCAAGACCACCTTGTCCAAGGGTTACCTGGGTTGAGGGGAACGCTGAGCCCCAGAAGCTCAGTTGTACCATGTCTTGAGATGGAGGGGAGGATGCCAGTCTGGAGAGCAGTGGCTGAAGACGGGCTGTGGCTGCCCTGGCGATGGCTGGGCAGAACAAACCCCCACCCCTGTGCGTCTGAGCTGGGGTTTGGCTGGTCACAGTTTCCGTTCCTCACCTTGGCGCATGCTGCAGTCTCAGGCTGAAACCAGCCGTGAGAGCGAGCTTTGTGGCAGCTGCGTGTGGACTTCACTGAAATAAAGATCAAAATTAATGCTTGGGAGTGAGCCGGCATGACCCAGCTGCCTCCTGGAAGGGGGTCAGTGCTGTCATCTGGCATCTGTTCCTGTGCCAGAAAACAAGCTGCAAAGCTCAGCAGCCTTTTAGTCCTCAGGGGCTGGAGTCTTCCGAGCACGCAGGGGCTGCTCTCCCAGCCCCTTGGTGCCCAGCGTACGTGTGTGCGAGTCGCGGCTCGAAGCTGCTCACAGAAGGGCCCGGTGAGCCCCAGCAGGAACGCGGAGCAGTGCTGGGTGTTGTGCAGGGTTGCTGCTGGGTTTGCACATCCCCTGAGATAACTTAGTGGGGAGAGTCATGTTCTTCACGAGCGCCTCAGGGGGACAGAGACCCTGGCAGCTGCTGGTCCGCGTTTGCCCTTTGCCTGCTGACGTTTTTTGGCTCTAAAGGTTCTGGGCTCACGCCAGAAACGCCTTGTTGATGTCCAACCTTTGTACTTGCCCTGCAGAGATGTTGCTGGGGATGTGCTGTGTTGGTGACGGGCCATGGAGGTAACCGGGCTTAGCGAGTTGTGGCCTCAGGGCCAGCCTGGCCTTTGGTTGGGACACAACTGGAGGAGCTTTCTCTGGCTACCCCAGGGTGCTGCCGGGCTACTGGCCGTGTTTAGGCAGTTCTCTCCCCTGCCCCCAGTGTTTGCTGTGTGCTGACAGGGATGTGGCTCCTGCCTCACTTCTTGCTTGCCTGTTACGAGGTCTGGGTCTAACCTTTGCTGAAGGAGAGACTCTCAGAAAGAATCTCACCTCTCTGGTTTTTGGGTTTTTTTTTGTAGGCTTCTAAAAAGCTGGTGGCAGCGGCCCTGCCTCTGTCTGTGGATGTCAGGCAGCCCCAAACCATTGTGGCAGCGGTGGATGAGGCGCTGAAGGAGTTCAAGCGGATTGACATCCTCGTTAACGGTGAGCTGCGGGAGCGGGCAGGGGCCGGATTTGGCACAGGCTCACTGTTGGGAAGGGCGTTTGCCTGCATGGGGTTTGTGTTTGCCTGGTGTGTGGCTTATGCTGCTTTGGCCTGGGAGAGTCCTGGCAGCCCCTGAGAGTGCAAAGAGATTGGTCTCAGATGAAGTGAGGACCTGTTCTTGATGTCTGGTCATCTGATCATCCCCACTCTCACTGCACAGCACCCTCCTGCCCTCAGGCTGGCTGTGCTGCTGGACACCCAGAGCCACAAGCTCTTTATCCCCGTATCAGGGCTGTTTCCATGTGCTCTCCAGTCTACCCAAATAGTATCACTCACCATCCCTCTTGCAGAAGTGCCCTGAACCTGCCCAGTCTCTCCTGACCCCATCCTGACTGTGCCCTCGGCTGCTTGTTCTTCAGGTGCTGCAGGAAACTTTCTGTGCCCAGCCAGCGCCCTGTCCTTCAACGCCTTCAAGACTGTGATAGATATTGACACCATTGGCACCTTCAACACCTCCAAAGTCCTCTTTGAGAAATATTTCCGGGTAAGTGGAACTGGAGCCAGAGGACTCGCTGGAAAAGGCTCCTGGTAGGCAGGGGGTTAGTGTCAAACAAACCACGCTTTGCTCCTGAGAAACTCAAGGAAGCGTGGAGGGCAGAAGGGAGTGCAGCACCTGTGTACCCGAGGCCATGCTGCTGTGCCTCTGCCACCCACCCTGCTCAGATCTGGTCTGTTTCCTCCCAGAGATGGCAGCCCCTGTGCAGGAACTGGGAATCCTGCCTGTCCCTAGCCCTGGGGATTTCACTGTTGTGGCATCTTTCTGTGCTCTGCCACCTGCCTGGGAAGAAGCTGTGTTCTGCTGCTCCTTTTCCAGCTCCTCTGCTTTCCCTTGGCCTTTGCTTGTCTTGGCATCTACTGCCTCCCTGGAAGGGCCTCGCTGGCTGCCCCGGCTCAGCGAGGCTGGGTGGGCAGTGCTGCCCCAGTGATGGGTCAGCAGCACAGAGATGGCTGTGCCCATGGGTGATTGTCCCTCCTAGCCCAGCTCTCTTCTCCCACCACTCTCCTACGTGACCCCCTGTGCTGCTCTTTGCCTAACACCACATCTCCTTTCCTTCCCCAGGACCACGGTGGGGTCATCGTTAACATCACGGCAACCCTGAGCTACCGAGGGCAGGCCCTCCAGGTGCACGCTGGT